TTATGTTTTTTTGATCTTACAGCAAATGTTGGGCTGCCATTATTTTTTGGGAACTTTCCTCTATAAGTTCCAGCCTTTGGTGCTTTTTCCTTTTCTGCCTTCTGTGGGCATCGGCAATCTCGTACCATGTGGCCGGTAGTACCACAGTTAAAACACGCTATTTGCTCTGTGCCCAACTTTGCTGCAGTGGTACTTCGATCAGATGAAGCAAAGTTGCTTGAGGGGTATTTGCTTCATTTACATAATCTCTAGCTGCATTACTGTACAACCCTAATTCATATACAGATTTTAAAGTATCTTGTATCATTAACTTGTTCGGGTGTATATAAGCTCTGTGCAATCTATTACCTAACTCCAGCAACTTATGCCCCAAAACTAGGACAGATTCATCTCATTGCCAAGTTAAATTGTGTTAGAATTACATATGTTGTTTCTCGCTTCCTATACTCCTCTACTAACCTAGATACTGAAAATGTGTGGTTTGATGTAGTTCATTATAAGCTCTAATATGGCGTTTTGCTTCTCCTACTGTTCTTAGTCTTAATATGTCTGCCTTCTGGGCATTAGTCCAGCCCAATATTCTATCAGCTTCATTTAATGCATCAATAAAGCTATTAACATCCTTGTCTACTCTACCGTGATATAACGGTATGGTGCTGGTTGAATGCATAATGAGATTCTGGACACTGGAAGAGCTCAGAAAGAACATGACTTTCTGCCTCTAACACGAGTTTTTAAACAACTTTTCTTCGTGTTACTACAAATTACCAAATAGTATGCAGCACTACCCGCAAGTAGTTCTCACACCTTATTGGTCAATCTGTACTACTTCCGGGGCTAGTCCAAAATCATAACCAAAACTCTCAAGTGATTGGTTACTGTTATGGTGAGTTAGCTGGATGCCTTCTTACTTGTGCTAGTACACTAGTGTTGTGTAAGGAATATATCATCAAAGTACTGCTTTTGCATGTTGACATCAACTTTTTTGTAGCCTCCACAGTACTAACAAGTTGGCATTAGTAATTATTCAGTCAATTACTGGTACTAGTGCATCTACTTCGTTGCTAGGCAATATCATCATTTTTTATAACTCTTTTGTAACTTATTATTCTCAATACCACTACTCTCTAGTTTTCTTGACCTAGCATATTTTAACTGGAATTCTCTAGTTGGCGATCTAGGCTACTTATCTATTTAACGACCTAGTTTCTCAATGCTATTTTTTATATACACATGGATTACATTTTACTTTCTTATATTTTGTTTTTGCTCTCTCAAGAAAAACACCTTAAACTCGAAAATTACCATGAAGCAATTGCATGAATTCCTCAAAATCTTCAATTGCTTCACTTTCCTTCATTTATAGTTGCAGGATCTAATGCTTCAAGTAATTGTAACTTTGTGAACATATCAAAAGATAGAAAACGTTTGTCACATAAAAGTTCAAAGTTCTGACTTGAAAATCTTCAAGATCTTGTTTTGAAATTTTAGAAAAAAAAATTCCAAAGAAATGCTTTTTGTTCTATTAGGTCATCAAGAAATTAATGTCGTGTTTTGGAACATTTTCATTAACCACCCCCCCAAAAAACGTACATCACGTATAATAGTTAAACCACCTAAACTTCACATTAGTGTAGCCTATATAATATGTAAGGTTTAGTATACTCTAATCCCTTATAGTGATGGCACACGACGAGACACACATTCGGCATGTAATGATGCTTGAATACAAGAAGGAAAACAATGCCTCTGTAGCCACAAAGAATATCAAAGGAGTTTATGGAAATGTTTTGAACGTTCGTAAGTGTCAACGATGGTTCAGCATATTTCGTTCAGGTGACTTTGAAGTAGGTTTTAAGCTAGTGGCATAGACGTCAAGTAGTTTGGTTAAACTTTACCAACGGGGTGTAAAGGTTATTGTATGGACTCGCGATTTGTTGAGTGACTGACTTGACTGGAGTGTGAAATAAACATGGCTAAAGAGTGTATAGCCTCGAGGCATCCGGGAAAGATGCGAATGTCTCAAGGTGTGAACAGGAAGTTGCTATGAAGAAGTGGAAGGCTGTTGATGCAAACTAAACCTGCGATAAAAGCAATAAATTCCAAGTAATACGTGATCTATAAATGAGGAGTGGTAGAACAGGGATTAAGCAATGACACAGAAATAGAGAATTTTTTGTAAACTTGGACTGCACGGATAGGAGTAGTGAATATTATTGAATAGATAGATAGATTTACTCCCAGATATTTATCATTTTATTGACAGTCGTACTAAATGTACTTGATATAGTTAAAAGTAACAAATCTGGTACTTTAGTACCAAAAATGGCAACCCTGGCCCGGACAATCATACTTTTGGTCCAGAAACATCAGTTTTAATATGGTTTGGCCAACATAATCCATTCAAACTCATGGGGGTAGACTTCGAGGTGATTGGTCCAGCAATTAATGGACTCGTCTTCCTTTAGTGCCCATTGACCAAGGTCTTGACGTCAAAGGTTGCTTGTGTATACAGTTTCTCATCCTCTATAGTCTGTATAAACATCTTTCCAACTCAGATTACATTTCACATCCCCGAACACAATTGTTAAACTTACATATCCGTCTAGTTAGAACCACTTTAAATAAGAATCCTCTCCATTATCACTGATATGCAGACAATGTTAGTTGTTCTTGACAGGTGTGTTCAATGTTCATCTTTTGTTAGCATTTCTCAACTATTTATT